CACACACACCACACACATCACACACACACACCCAACCACACACACCACACACACTCCACACCACACAGCACACACACGCCACACACCACGGACACACCACAGACACCACACACCACAAACACACATACCACACATACCCCACACACATTACACACAAACACCCACACCACAGATACACCACACACACACGCCACACCACACACACACACATATACCCCAAACCACACATGCACCCCCACACCCCCTACACACCATACACACACCACACATACCACACAAGCACACTACACACACACCACAAACGCCACACATTCCCACAAACCACAGACACACCCACACGACACACACTACACACACACACCACATACGCCACACACAACTCACATTACACACACACCCCATACACACACCACACACACACAAACACCACACACACCAGACACAACTCACAACACACACACACCATGCACCACAGGTGTGCACCACACACACCACATACACACACACACCACCTACCAAAAGTGTGCACCACATGCACGCACCACATGCATACCAACACACACCACACACAAACACAAACACACCACACAAACACACCACACACATGCCATACACATACAACACAAACCACACACATACAACACACACACCACACACACACACCATACATGCACCACACACACCACACACACGCACACAAATGCCACACACGCATGCCACACACACAAATGCCACCCATGCATGCCACACACACAACATATGCACACCACACATGCACTCCACACATGCACACCACACACCAGAGACATCATGCACCACAGGCACACACCACACGCGTGTACCACACACGCACACCACAGACGCGCATTCCCACCCCACTGGCATCAGACCCTCCCAAGCAGGCCCCGGCTCTGGTGTTCCCCCAAAGGCTGCTTTGGCCTCCTCTGAAATGGAAACACCCTGAAGGCTTTTTTCTTAACCGAGAACTTACATACCATACAACTCACTCTTTCAAACCCTACAATTGGTTTTCAGCATTTTTACAAGGCTTTGTAACTATCACCATTATCTAATTTTCAAACATTGTGATCACCCTCAAAAGCAGCCCAGTGTCTATCAGCAGCCCCGTGTCTATCAGCAGCCCTCTACAGTTCACTCAGGTTCTAGTTTCGTTCTCTCTGGATGTGACTGCTCTAGGGACCTCACTAAGTGGGACTGTTCGGCACTGGTCCTTTTGTGATTGTCCTATTCGCTTGGCATAACATCCTCCAGGTCAGCCCATGTGGCGGCATGTGTCAGCACCGCATTCCTTTTCATGGCTGAGTCATATTCCATTGCATGGATGACTGCATACATTTGCCTACTCAGCACTGCACACTTGGGTTTTCTGGCTAATGTGAATACTGCTGCTATGAACTTCATGTACGAGTTTTTGCATGACGTATGTTTTTAGTTCCCTTGAGAATATGCCTAGGACCAGAATTGCTGAGTCACATGTTTACTGGTTTTGAGGAACTGCCAAACTGCTTTCCACAGCAACGGCACCCCTTTACACTCCCACCAGCAATGCGTGAAAGCTCCACTTTCTCCACATCCTCAGCAATTCATTATTGTCTTTTTAATTATATCCTGAAGGCTCTTAATGTAATTTTAAGAAGTTAAAACACTTTCTTTTATGAACTCTTACACAAAAAATCATAGGCAGGGGTGTTAATCTTGGAGGTAAGAACCCCAGGTGGGGCAGGAGGGATCTGAAGAAAGGGGAGCTGGAAGCATGGAAGCGCGCTGGCCTGGGTCTCTGCATGGCTGAGGCTGCGAGGGGCTGCGGACCTAATTCGGAGAGCGATGAGGCTGCTGGCCCGCAGCAGGTGCTAGGTTAAAGCCAGTCGGTGTTCCTTTTCATAGGAGGGACAGGCTCAGAAGGGGCAGGCTTCCTGCCCCAGCTCTGAGATAAGAATTTGCTGGGGGAATAAAAGGAGTGAAGGTGCAAAGGAGAGTGCTGACTGGTAAGTACAGAATCAGCCCATTTGTTATTGAGACAAAGCAGCCCGACAGCCCACAAGCGGCTGCAGTTTTCAGTTGGGTGTGGAATTAAACAGCGCTGCTTCTTACGCAGTATCCTGCTTTTAGTAAACAGCGACGAGTCCATGTGTACCCGTACTCACACGGAGCGCACTCTGATGCCACAATTCCTTATCACTCCTCCTCTGAGTGCCCCACAGCATACATACCCAGCGCGTCCTTCTCCCAGCCTCAGCAAGGTCAGAATCTGTTTCTCCCAAATCCGGGCCCAGGACAGATGCCCGGGCCCTAAACCACACAGTGATCAGTGGCAGCCCTGGGGTTCAAATTTGGGTGCCCGGCCCAGCTCCTGCTCCCAATTCTCGGGCGCATCCCGCCGGTGCAAAGCCAGAGTCAGGGAGCCCGCGCTGCCCTGACGCGTCCCCCTGTCTCGTCCCCTGTCGCCCGCAGGACCCGCGCTCTACCCTGGCGGAGGTGCACCGGCAGCGGCGCGACCTGCTGAGCAGCGCCTGTAGCCGCCACACACGCCGGCAGCGCCTGCTGCAGCCAGAGGACCTGCGGCACGTGCTGGTGGACGACGCGCATGGCCTGCTCTACTGCTACGTGCCCAAGGTGGCGTGCACCAACTGGAAGCGCGTGCTGCTGGCGCTGAGCGGCCAAACCCGCGGCGACCCGCGCGCCATTCCCGCGCACGAGGCGCACGCGCCCGGCCGCCTGCCCTCGCTGGCAGACTTCAGCCCCGCTGAGATCAACCGGCGCCTACGTGCCTACTTGGCCTTTCTGTTCGTGCGAGAGCCCTTCGAGCGCTTGGCGTCCGCCTACCGCAACAAGCTCGCGCGCCCCTACAGCGCTGCCTTCCAGAGGCGTTATGGCACACGTATCGTTCAGCGCCTGCGGCCACACGCGCTCCCGGACGCCCGGGC